CGGACGGATTATTGGATGATATGGGGAATTCTTGGGATGGAATTGTAGGGGGCGTTGAGGAAATTGTGTTGGTACCAATGTCCGGAGGTTATGGCGGTGGAGAAGAGTAGATGTGATCATTAGACGGTGGAGGTGGTGGAGGAGAAGAGAGTGTGTTTTTGTTATTTTTAATATTTTCATAAGTTTTGGACTGATTTGCATTTTAAAAAAAAGTTTAGGAGCATATTACAATTTATTCTTTATTTTTCTTTTCTTTTTTTTAATTTATATAGGAGGGTATATTGGTTATTTTATGTTAATAATTGGTGAAAATGACGTTTAGAGCAAAGAATGTGAAAGGGAAGGATGTTCCCACAAAAACCTTCAAAGGTAGGGACGTTTTGCGCCAATTATCCATTAAATAATAGTTGGAAAGGTTGTCCTCTTCGATAATCTCCGATCTCACCTGTGACAGTCATTTTCTTTCGATTATATTGTAGTGATTCTAAATATATGGGCAAGAATAAAAAATAATGCAAGAATAAATACCTAACTATTCGAAGTCCGCCATCGTTTTTATAGCAGATTGGGGGAAAATGATGTGGTATAAAATTGGAGGACTGGAGGTGTGAAGATTTGGGAAATAAATAGTAACATCTCATTGGGTTATCGTTGCATCTACAGTAACCAAAAACTGATTTTTTTATTATAGTAGGATAATAGAAAAAGTACAATAGAATCAAAATTCAAATTAACAGAACCTATAATAGACTTGCATTGAATCCTTAAAAACAAAAATCAAGACATGTTCACCTAGTACGAGAGATAGGGCTTAGAGCTTTAGATGCCAAAGAGTTAGTTGTTTTGTTATGCTCACATTTTGCATATGTTTGGTGGCAATTTTCATTCACATTTTAATAAAATATTGGACCTTTCGCATTGTAATTGTTGACTTTTTTCACACTACAAACCAGACATGGGACCCACTAACGGTAAAAAATGGATTTTAATTTTGCAAATAGTGGAGTGGGATTTAATGTGTTAGATAAAAAATGTCCATATGATTAATCCGAATTAAACATCTATCCCATGAGCGCCAATATCTTTTAGGATCTAGAATGCAAGATGGCAACCAAATAAGTTGAGTCCATTCTCCAACCAAAGTTTTTTTCTCCAAGTATAACAATGGCGTAAATAGCTCCTACAAGCCCAGCCTCTAAGGCTTAGGAAACACCGAGGAGACTAGAGATGCACCCAACAAGTGCTCAAAACACTGCATAACAAGCACCGAACTCCCAAAAGCAAACCTATCTGTATTATCCTTATTCCTCTCCCATCGAGGGTTCCAATTGGCGTCCAAAACTCCTGAGGCCTATCGAAGAGATAAAATCGATGTAGTACAATAGTTCATCGACAGAGCATCACATAGTATGAGAATGAAGAGAATTTGCTTCCGCAACTCACCGTCTAAGAATAGATAATTCCTATAGCAAAAGATGGCCTATTACCCTAAAAATAATATGATTCTGTAATGTCCATACCACTTAGAAAACACAAACAATACAGTCCATATGAGGCTAAAGAAGTCTCGAATCGGGCAAGTAATTGGGACTCAACTTATGAAACAATACTCAACCTCAACCATAATGTT